AAAAAAAAAAAAAAAAAAAAAACAAGTATAAGAAGTAAAGCTATGGTGCTATTTTGAGCTGTAGGGGACTCAGGTCAACAATTTCTGACACCACCAGTCAAGGGGAAGACCCAATACTATTATAGACTATTGGACTCTTTTAGAATATTTTGCTGAGTTAACACATCTATAATATTCAAATAACAGAACTAAACAAAAAAGGGGATACAGACGAATGTACATTTTGTATCTGTGTATTCAAAATGGTTAGGATAGATATATAGTTACATTCTCTTAATGAATAGAGGGATTCATTCTAATAGTGTTTGTAAATAGGATATCATATCTGCATCTTGTACAGCAAATAACCACAAGGAAGACTGAAACTGTCTTACCAATTTGGTTTGAAACTGTCTCATTGCTATTTTTTCTCAATAACATTATGGGAAAAAAATTTAAAAATAAATAAAATTGTGAAAACATATTTTACTTCATTTCACCCCAGTTTTAAAAAAAATGCTTCTCTCTTCCTTAGCATAATGTCTTTATAAACTTAAATATGCAAATAATACATGAAAAATATACTACATCATACTGCAAGATTTTTTAGTGTATTTTGTACATGGTCTACAGGGTCTCATTACAAAGATTGGACTTGTAGTGACCCTCCTGTTTTCAGCCTCCCCAGCACTGGGATTACAAGTGTGTGCCACTGCTTCTAGTCTCAGTCACCATTTCAGCACTTTAGTCCACTGAGCTATCTAACTGGCCCTCTTGTCTTTGTCTTTTTAAAAACTTACAACCTGAGAAACATATTGAATGTTAAATGTTTTAATAAAATAGGCACCGGGAAGACAGCTCAGTGGTATAAGTGCCTGCCTGGCTAGCACAAGGTCCTGAGTTTGTTCTCTGGTACCAAATAAATGAATAAATAAATAAATTTTAAAAATAAAACTAGAGAACAAGTACTAAGGTGATATTGTCTAATCAGTTTTTAATGTGGTAAAAATGCTTAAATTATCCCGGTATATGGTAAAGTTTAGAACAAAAATAAAATTACAGGCTATGCACAGCATTGTCCTGTTTAATATGCTCAGCACATGTGTTTCATGATCTGTGTGTGAGATTATGGAAATCAGTACAGTGACTCCTCAAAGACTGGAAAGTTGAAAATTCCACTCAACCCAGCACATTCCCTTCTAGATCTCTTCCTGGAAATGCTAAAGACATGTCATAACAGTGATAGACACGTATCCATGTTTATAGCAGCACAATTCATAGCAGCTACATCTTGCATGCAACCTAGATGTCCATAAAGGAATGGATGAAGAGGGACCAGCAAGACAGCTTAGCTGACTAAGCACCTGCTTTGGCAAGTACAGGGACCAAGGCTCAATCCCCATTCCCAGGTGCTATGCTGGCCCCACCCCTGGGGTGCACTAAGCCTGAGTCAAGGTGTGGGTGTAATCCCAGTGCTGGGGAGGCTGAAAACAGGACGATCACTACAAGAATCTGAGCTGTGTAGTGAGACCCTTTACCAAATGCATAAAATGAAAAAAAAAAGAGAAAGAGATGGATGAAGAAAATATGATATCTGTACACAATGGAGTTCTACTCTTCAATAAAGAAGGATAAATATGACTCATTGGTAGAAAAATGGATGCACTTTTAGACCATAATGTTAAATGAAACAAATTATTCACACAACCTTAAATCTTACAGGATTTCTCTTATATAAAAAACCTAAATTATAGATTAATTAAAGAACAAAATAAAAGATAAATAGAAAAAATAAAGAATTTTCTCTATAGGAAGAGACATAAGAGTTAGAGGTATGGAAAAGAGGAAGGAGAAGAGGACTAATAAGAAATAGCATGTGTCATGTACTAACTCCCCACAATAAATGTATTCATTATGTAATATAAATATGTACTAATAACATATTGTCCAAGGAAAATAGGCAAATAACGCTATTTTTGCCTTTCTACTTTCTTTTTTTTTTCTTCATGCATTTTATTTTTATTTTTTCACATAATTTTATTGAGAAACAAATAGCAATAAGACAGTTTCAAACCAAATTGGTAAGACAGTTTCAATAATTAACATATAGCATACATTCTTCCTAGTGTTTAATTGCTGTACAAGATGTGGACATGCTATCCTACTTACAAATACTATTAGAACAAATCCTTCTATTGATTAAGAAAATGTAACTATATATCTATTCTAACCATTTTGAGTACACAGATACAAAATGGACATTCATCTGTATCCCCTTTTTTTGTTTAGTTTCATTATTTGAATATTATAGGTGTGTTAACTCAGCAAAATATTCTAAAAGAGTCTAGTAGTCCTTCTCTACTTTCTGAATTTTCTTAGTATGTACATATTATGTCAGAAATCAAAAAATAATTTTATTTTTAAATTCTTTACTATTGGGAATGTTCAAGTAAAAACACGCAGAGCTATGATAAGTGTTGATGGTTCTCTGTTGACAAGGAAGATACTGACACTGGAAATTTATCTTCTTGGGCAAAAAGTCCTAATAAAGACAATCTAATTTTCACTGGATAGATCTTTTATTTCCTTTGTTAGATTAATTCCTAAGTATTTCATTTCTTTTGCATGCTATTATGAACGGTATTGTTTCACTAATTTCTCTCTCAGTGAGTTTGTTATCTGTGTTGGGTAAAGCTATTAATTTTTTATATTGACAATATATTCTGTCATGCTGCTGAATTTGTTTATTAATTCTAGGAGCTTCTTGGTGGAGTTTTTTTTTAGCTATTCTTGTTTTGAAAGTCTGTAGCATATGTATTGTATGCTATTCTATTTCTGTGTTTGCTTCAGCCATTTCTTTTTTCATTATTACTTTTGAAAGTGAAATAAATAAAAATTTAAAAAACAGAAAAGGATGTAAAATATAGACACATAAAGAGGAGCTAAAATCAACAGAATCCAGATAGTTAGAGACGCATCTGTCCATCAAGCCCTATAGATTCAGAGGATTCCGTCCCAGTACTCCAAGATGGAATCACCACGGCACTAGAACTTGGTTAAACAAGGAACAAACACACTTCTTATAGACAAGGAGCAGATCACAGAAGAGCCCTAAAGACAAGATTTCAGCACCCAGGCATATGCCACACACACCTCCATTCCTACTTCAGATGGTTCTAGTGGGATCCAAACAACCTACCCAAAGTAGTGGTAGTAACCTATGCTAACTCATAGATTGAACTCCTGAGGCCCACAGCAATTTGCTAATTTAGACCAATAAATGTCACATGCAGAAATTATGTTCAAAAAATATTGAGAAGAGATGTGGATTCCATCACACTTCATATTCATAATAAAATATGAGGTGCTTAGCACACCCTGGGAAGGAGACTAGGAAGATGTAAGAGTCATCAGGTAGGTTTAGTATATGGTGGTCACACTTTGTTGTAGCTTAGTTACATCACTCTACAAGACTTTGGTGAAATTGAGTTGCTGGGATTCCTAACATGAGAGGAGGGCCTAGTGCTCATCTGCAGCAGAATCCATCTCAATAGACTTAGATTCCTGGTGTTGTAAATTCTGTCACTGGGAATCCAGGTTTCTGAAATTGCCCTGGACAACAGCATATCCTTTAGTTCCTACCTTACACTCTTGGTTTGTCTTGTGTGATTTGTTCTGAATCATAAGCTGTAGTCACTGTATGTTTCTTGCATAATCATGTAGATATCATTAGAGGATTCATTTCAGTAGGAGACTTTCTTAGAAAGCCACATGATGAAGCAACACAAAATCAGGAGGAAACATAAGGTCACCGAGCCAACTGCTCCCCCATCTTCTGCTGGGGGATAAAAGGCAGAAACAACAAAGCTTCAGAAGCACTCACCTGGGAAACCTTCTTTGGAAGATGCAGCTGCTCCTGCTCCTGTTGGCCTTCTTTCTACCCCCCAGGACAAGGGCAGGTAAGTTGCCATCTCCACCCTTAGAGCCACAACACCATTCCACAGAGGACATGGGTGCCCTGTCCCTCTGCACAGCCCTGATCCTTCTTTCTACCAAGAATGCTCCAAACTAGACCTCCAGTCCCACCAGAGAACCCCAAGTATGGCACTGGGTAAGCAACCACAGACTGCGCTCAACAAGAGATACAGGACACTATCCCCTCACTAGGCCACACTTTTGTCATCTTGGAAGTAGGTCTTTCCTCAAAGTGCATGCTAATTGTGAAAAGTTACAGAAGAAGTTATGAAATTCTCCTGGAGAGGCCAGAATATGCCTATCTTTCATGTCTAGGAGGAGAAAGGTGTTGCCCTCATCTGCTGTTTACTTGTCTTTCCTCAGTCATAGTATCAAATTCTGCTTTATCCAATTCTTCTTCCCTGCCCATTCTTTACTGTGTCTCCTGCTTTCCACATAAGTCACATAGGCAGACTCTAACTTTCCTGTCTTCCAGAATGCCATCAATGCTATCCTACCAACTTGATCCACAGACTACCTGGAGATGTTCAATCACACCCAATGAACAGTTCTGGGGCGCCCACTACCTGTCAGGGCCTAGGAAAGAGGATCAGACAATATCTAGAACACACCTAAAGCCCTGCCATTAGGATGCCTCACCATCCTAGACAACACAGGACTCAGGGTTTAAGGTACTCAATAGAAATGAAATCCCTGCAGAGGAATTATGAAAAAACCTCTGGGATTTTATTTTCTACAGATAAGTGTGCTCATCTCTGACTGCATAGAGAAGAAAGATTTTGAAACCAAGACCTAATTTTCCTCCCTATGCAAAAAAAAAAAAAAAAAAAGCTGAGGCTCCTCCCTCCAGGTCAGCTCCAGAGCTTCCCAGGTAGCCAAATGCCCTGCAGTTCTGTATCTACCACATAGATGCTCAGGCATTGACTCAGTGTCAGCTCAAAACAGTCTTTTTCTCTCAGGGGAGATCTTCGGGGGACATGAAGCCAAACCCCACTCCCGCCCCTACATGGCCTTCCTTCGACTCAGGAATACTACTAGTGTATGGAGGTGTGGTGGTTTCATGATACATGAGAAGTTTGTGCTGACAGCTGCTCACTGTATGGAAAGGTGAAGGAAAAATTGCCCACAGCCTTGAAAAATTGTTCCTCAGATACCCTTCCTCCCAAGAAGCTCTCTGATATCCTGGAAACATATAAGCAGGACCCTCATTTGAGTGTGAAAAAAAGCCAGCCATATCCCAAGGGGACTCAAGCAAGTTGGCACCCAAGGAGTTGCTGACATAAAAAGACCAGGGCAAGAAAACCTGAAATATTAAGACCTAGGACCATGTCTTCGCATGATAGACAGTAGAGTAATTTTATGTGTTTTCATGGAGATAACTGAGCCCTGAGAACTTCTGGTGCTGTGTCCAAGGTTTCAGTCTGTGTTACTAAGGAGCAGAGGGCACAGTCACTGAGGCAGGTGGCCTTCCTGTCAACTGGAGCTCAGACATGTACTATCTCTCCCCAGGTTTTAGCTCTTGGGATGGGTCCTCTCAGGCTTTACATTCCTCAACCTACTCTTCCCTCTGTACAGACCTTTGCACTCACAAGGTCGACAAATAAAAGTCATTCTGGGAGCCCACAACATCAAGAAGACGGAGAAGACTCAGCAGGTCATACAAGTGAAAAAAAACATTCCACACCCGCAGTACAATCCTGAAAAACTAATCAATGACATCATGCTGCTCCAGGTAAGGCTCACCTCCCTGCTGCTCCAGCTCTCCTCACATAGCGCTGCACCTCCCCAGTGGTACTTTGTGCTTCCCTCTTTGCCATAATGTCTATTGCAATGTCCAGAGCCAAAAGGCAAAGCCTTATCTATGCATTCTTACTTCTTTCCCATCAGCTGGAGCAAAAGGCCAAGGTGACTAAAGAGGTGCAGATTATAAAGCTGCCCAAGGCAAAAACCTGGGTAAAGCCAGGTACCAGGTGCCAGGTGGCTGGATGGGGACTGTTGGCTCCAAATGGGACACTTCCAGACACACTGCATGAGGTGCAGATGACAGTACAAGAGGATAAGGTGTGTCAGAAACGCTTTAGGAATTATGACAGTGCCATTCAGATCTGTGCTGGGGACCCAAACACTCTAAGAGGCTCCTTTGAGGTAAGACTGGGCATCTGCCTTCACTTTGGGCGAAATGGTATTTGGAACACATATACCAGAAGAGGCAAGAAGCAGGGCTTGTTCACTTACTAGGCTTTGATAATTCTCCTTGAAATGAGAAAAAGGGACTGGCCTGAGGTGCAAGGTAACCGAGGTTTCTATCACTTCACCAAAGGGGCCTCTGGGAATGAATGAACCTCTGGAAGCAGGAGTTTGCAATATACTCTGTGAGTTCACATCCCAGACTTTAAAGACCATTCCCTGAATGTGCAGTTGTAACAGCAAATTGGCTCCTCAGAGTCTTCTGACCCTCTGGTTCAATGGGCTCATTGTGCCTGCTGTTTCTGATTCATGTGTCTCAGTATCCTGAAACAATAGCCTGAAGCCAGATACCACAGGACTCTACAGGGATGAGGCCCCAGGACCTGGGGCAAGGATAAAGGCTGACTGAGAGTGAGGTAAAGCAGTAACACTGTCCACAGAAAGATCAAGCAGCTACTGGCTGCAAGATCTGTCCTTCCCCTCATTTCTCGCCAGCAGGATATGAGTAGTACCTCAAAATGGGTTTAGGATATCAGAGGGGAAAGGTCCAGGAGGTGCAAAGTCTCATGGCCTCTCTGTACTTACAGGGTGACTCGGGAGGCCCATTCATGTGTAAAAATGTGGTTCAGGCCATTGTCTCCTACGGAGTTAAATATGAAGAAAATAAACATGGGCCAAATCCACATGTCTACACCAAACTCTCACCTTATCTAGCCTGGATAGAGAAAACCATGAAGCAATACTTAATACAGGAAGCAAATGAAGCCACTCTGAGCAGCGTTCTTTCATGGACCTGAGCCTAGAATTGCTCTATGGCAGACACCAGCAGCTAAATAAATGTCCTATCTCAGTAAGAAGACTGGTTTCTTGTTCATTCAACATCTTTCATTTAAAAAGACCAACTCCTACTAAGCAGGCTAGTGGGACAATTCTGCTGCTTTCTCTGCTTGCATTTCCTGGTCCTGTCATCACCTTCAAAACTGTGACTCAATAAGGCTGGACAGATAGTTCAGTGGATGAAAGCACCTGCTTAGGCAGACACAGGGACTGAGGTTCATGACTGACCAGGGTTTGATCCCCAGCATGCCATCCCAGTCCTGCCCCTGGGACACACTGACATGGGGATTGAGACTGGTCATGGTGGCACACACCTGTAATCCCAGTGCTTGGGAAGCTGAAAAACAGAAGGATCACTACAAGTCCCATCTGTGTAGTGAGACCCTGTGGATCCTCTTGACCCTGTACTAAATACATTTTTTAAAAATCCTGACTCAAGGCTGTTAATCAGTTCATTCTAAACTGTTTTAGTTTCCCCAAGCCTCCCTTTTTGCAAGGATAGAAGGTAGGTGCCTTCACAAGAAAATGTGCACATGCAGCCGGGGAGATGGCTCAGTGGAATAAGTGCTTCCCTGGCAAGCACAAGAGCCTGAGTTCAATCCCCAGTTCTGCCAAAAAAAAAAAAAAAGAAAAAAAAAGAAGGAAAGAAAGAAAGAAAGAAAGAAAGAAAGAAAGAAAGAAAGAAAGAAAGAAAGAAAGAAAGAAAGAAAGAAAATGTGCATAGCTCCTATCCTGGGTCTCGGGGTGAAAATGTGACCTTTTCATATGTCACATGGCAAAGGGGAAGGAGCATAATTTCATGGGTGCTGCAGCCCTGTCAGGCACCACTTGGGTCACCACTCAGTCCCATGACACTGAAGAGAGGAGGCTTTTCCTCAACAGGACATTTCTCTCCCACAGGTTTGAAGATAAAACAGCTGTGGAGAATCTTCAATGACTCCTCATTCTCACCTGCAATTTATTTTCTTCCTCTTTCTCCTCTAAGACCAAGACAAGCTGAGGCTTATAACCACCTGGCTGAGCATTCTATTTTATCTCCTCTCACAGTTGTCACTGTCCAATGACTCCTGTCCTCTCTAGGCCACAAGGATGTGATGTTGTTCCTTCCTTCCTCAAATCCCCTTCTAGGACATACAGAGCCACATGTGGTCCCATGCAAGGCCCATGGAGGGTAAGGGTGGTGGAATCAGAACCCATGGCCCCACATTTCACTTGGGCAGGGCCCCTTGCCCTGTGTTGTCCTATATACTCAGGGGGCCTTGGTCACTGAGCCACCTGATCCTGTTTCTCCCTATCCTTCCTGATAAGTGCTGGCCTCAAAGATAAGACTTCTTGGGGCCAGGGAATTGGCTCAGTGGAATAAGCGCTTCCCTGGCAAGCACAAGGACCTGAGTTCAATCCCCGGTTCTGCAAAAAAAAAAAAAAAAAATAGATAAGACTTCTAGCCCCACATGAGCTATACAAGGCTTCAGTCTTACAAAAGCCTCCTCTCTCCAGAATTACAGAAAAACATACTGGTTTTCATCAATCAGCAAACAAATACTCTCTGAGTGCTTACTGGCTGCCAGATCTTAGAGATCAACAGTGCACATAATGACAACACACATTGTAACTGGAAGTAGTAAATACTTTTGAAATTTCTTTACACTATGTATTCCAGATTGGTCCATAAGACCTAGATCTATGTTAGAAATCTATGGAAAGTTAACACCTTATTTTTATTCCTGCTTGCAAGTTCTAACAACATTATCATTTGACACTCTAGAAGTGCATGGGAATTAGAGATGTCATCATGCTGCTGCAGGTCAGACATCCTTCCTGTTTCACTTGTAATTCTTATGCAGGGTCATGCCTTCCCCTGGGACCCTGATCTTTCCCTCTTTGCTATCATGACCATCAAAATGTCCAGACCCAGAAGGTATACAGTCTACTCCACAGGCTGATCTGGACTCTTGCCTTTTCCCCATCAGCTGGAGAGAAAGACGAAGCTAAGTAAAGCTGTGCAGCTCCTCAGGCATGAGGACCTGACCCAGCTAAACAAAAGGAACACATGCCTCATAACATGATAGCGAAGAATGACTCCATAGGACCCTAGGGCAACTATGCTGCAGAGGGAACACTAACTGTGCAAGATGAACTAAAATGCAGATCATACATGCATGTGCATTCTGACATTACTGAGATTTGTATGGGACACCCAAGAAGAACCAAGACCAGTTTCAAGGTGAGGATTTCACTGGCTATAACTACAGAACCCAGGGAAGGTGGAAGTCAGTGGGGGGCAATAGTATCCAATTTCCTACGGCTATCTCCAGGGCTTGGAAGGTGGAGTTCTCAAGCCATACACTCTGTACTCCACACCCTGGGTGGATAGTTGTGAAAGTAGAGAGAAATGTTGGGCTACTGAGTATGGTGTGATTACAGGAGTAAATCTAAAGCCTGCACAGAAAGGTTCAGGTAAGTTAAATCTGAAAAGTAAAGTTGGGGTCAGGCTAGAGCCCTTAGTTATAGGAGACTGCCTGGCCCACCCTGCCTGATCCCTGCTCACAGCCCTTCACAGAGGTCACCTACTATGGGGTTTCCAGGACACTGCCAGGAGAAGACCACCTCAAACTTTCCTTCACTGTTTGCAGACAGACCTACAGGTCCCCTCATGTGTAACAAAATGATCCAAGGCACTTTCTACTATGGAAGAAATAACAGAAGATCTCTATCAATCTTTGTAAAGGTCCTCCCTTTCTGCGCTGGATAAGGAGTAAAATGGAACACTTGTAACTGCACACATAAAATAGGCCTCACCTGTGCCTCACCAGCTTTTTCTGAGAAAAACAAAGAATCTCTCGAGCATGGGAAATGGAGATTGCACTGTGATACTAAGTGGTTCTCAGGAGTAAATGTGGCCAAAGTCCTGCCTGTTCACCAAGCACCACTGAGTATGAACCTGCACTGCCTTCCATTCTGGCTGTGGCTATTTTTTCCTTTCCACTTTTCTTTCCTTATTCCATTCCATGCAATGGAAGGAAGCATCAGAGGTCAACAGCTGCTCAAGCACAAGTTTTTAAATGCTCAGCTCTCCCATGTGTACCTGCTCTTTTTGTAGTGGGGAGTCTGTGGCCTTAGCAGTCCTAATACACATGATCCAGTGTCCTTACCCCACTCAACACTCCAAATATGAAATTTTTGGGCATTAGCAGCATCTTACCATCTCTAAGCCAACAACCTTTATCAGGCACCCAACAATTTGGCAGAGAAGGTAGCAATGGAAAAGGGGTAACTCCAGGCACCCAGAAAGCCAGTGCACTCAGTCTCATGATTACCAGCTTTCTCTTCAGTGATGCTGGTTTCTCCCTGATTCAGTGCTGTCTGCTGCTTAGAAGGCTTAGGTGGCCCACAGATGCCCAGGTCAAATTTACTGCCCTGTCCTGGGCCACCACTGAGTTCAGTCCACCTCCTTTCTCACTGCCTGACCTTTCAACACCAGCTCCTGTCTCCACCACAGTGTGCCCGGCCATTAACCCCTGCACTGCAGTTCCTGGGATTTTACCCCCTTTCAGTCCTCTCCTGACACAGTTCCCAAGTCTGTGTGTCTTCACCTCTGCCAGTAGTTCCAGCCAGACTTGGAACTCTCTCCCTTCTACCTGGGCAGTGCTAGCTAAAACCTGTTCCAGCCCAGAATCCCCACAGGGCTCAGCATCACCTTCTGGGGAGCCACTCTGCAGCCTCAGCCCTTTCAACCTGACCTGGCCTTGGACTCCAGGCTCCCCCTGCTGGCTCTCTGAGGTGACAGCAACCCATGAGCCAGAGAGGCCAGAGATGCTGGGCAGGAAGGATTACTTAGCCATCTAGCAACCAAAATCTTGTGGTCTATTTCTCTATAGCAGAGACACGATAGTCTCTGGTTCCACCTTTGGAAATCCTCATAAATGAGAAAATTCCTCTAAATGTCCTTGTTTTTTGTTTTGTTTTTTGTTGTTGTTGTTGTTGTTGTTTTTGATCCTTCCACAAGGCAGGTCAATTTTTTAAATAATTTTATTGAGAAACAAATAGCAATGAGATAGCTTCAAAACCAATTACTAGCACAGTTTCAATAATTAATACATTTCACGTTGCCATCCTAGTGGTCATTCATTGTACAAGGTGCAGACATGACATCTGCCCATAGACACTATCAGAACAAATCTCTCTATTCATTGAATTAAAAGAATGCAGCTGCACATCTATCTCAACCATCCTGAAAATATACCAAATGGTCTTTCATTTTCATCCCCCTTCTTTGTTCAGTTTCATCACATTAGTTTCACATTAAACCTTTGCATTCTGATCAAGGAGATCACAGGGCCACAGAGGAAAATGATTGATGGTGTAGAGTGTGCCTAAGGAGAATCACCTACAGAGAAAACATTCTCTCAGGCTTTCACAGAAAGCATATTGGCCAAGAAATGGCCATGGCTCATCCACATGGCTGATGCTGACAAAAGATCTACAAACTGCTGTACAAGGTTTCAGAGTAAGTCCTGAGGGGATATGACTAACCTTGTCAGATACAAAAGTTACACTTCTTGTTATATAGGCCTTGCTTTATCTTGGTCTTAATCATCCAGCAGAAAAGTATAAACATGAAGTATAAAATGTAAAGCCATACTAATATGCTGAGCTCTGAAAGGCTCAAGTCAACAACTTCTCACATTCCCAGTCCTGTGGGTAACCCACTACTATTATACACTACTGTACTATAGTCGATTACTTTGCTGAACACATGCACCTACAATATATGAATGGCAATGGAATACCCATCTCTGATGGGTAAAGAAAAAAGGGAATACAAATAAAGGACTATTTTGTAGTGAAAAACAAATATATATATATGACCAGAAAGAGTA